CAGCAGGCGGCAGTATCAATGGGCCGTCCAGCGAGAGGCCATGCGCACCCTCACGGAAGCTACCTTGGGCTCCATGATCCCAACGCATCATGTGGCCCATGACGCCACTTCGCCAGAGCCCTACCGGTGGGTGCAGCATGGTGGCGACAGCACAGCGCCCAGCAGCACCCAGAGAGGAAGAGGTCGCGCTGGCCTTATGTGGGGCGTCGCTCCGCTGGGCCTCCCAAAGGCGCAACGAAGCGACAACACTTGCGCGAATCGCAGCACCCAGGACAGCCGAGGTCCCGTTACATCCGCGTGGGCCAAACTCCGCTGGACAGGGGAGCAGCGAAGTGCGCCTGGCAGCACCCAGGGTGGGCAGTGCATCGCTAGGTCCAGCAGTTCTGCGCTGCGCGAGACCTCGCGCTGGCGCAGCAACGTGGCGACATGTGCGCGCCTGGTAGCACCCAGGGGGGGCGAGGTCTCGCCAGGTCCAAGTAGCACTGTACGGCGATGGACCTCTCATGGGCACAGCAACGTGGCGACAGTTGCACGCCTGCGCCTGGCGTTATATCCAGGAAAGGTCATGTCTCGCTGGGCTAGCGTATTGTTCCGCTGGACCTCGCGCGGGCGCAGCAACGTGGCGACGTGCGCGCGCATGGCAGTCAAGCAGCACTGCACGGCGATGGGCCTCTCAGGGGCGCAGCAAGTGTGGCGACAGCTGCGCGCCTGGCGTCGCCCAGGGAGGGCAGTGTCGCAGTGCCTCCCTGGAGCCGCGTATGGTTCCGCTGGACCTCGCGCGGGCGCAGCAGAGTGGCGACATCTGCGCGCCTGACAGCAACCCGTGAGGGCGAGCTCCCGTTGGCCCCGAGCAGCAGAGTGATCCGCTGGACCTCGCGCGGGCGCAGCAACAGCTGTGCGGCTGGCAGCACCCAGGGAAAGGCGAGGTCTCCTTGTCCTCCTATTTCTCCTCCTCCTCCTCCTCCTCCTCCTCCTCGTCCTCCTCCTCCTCCTCCTCCTCTCCTCCTCCTTCTCCTCCTCCTCCTCTCCTCCCCCTCCTCCCCCTCCCCCTGCCTCTCCCCCTCCCCCTCCCCCTCCCCCTCCCCCTCCTCCTCCCCCACCCCCTCCCCCCTCCCCATCCCCCTCCTCCCTCCTCCTCCTCCGTCCTCCGTCCTCCGTCCTCCTCCTCCGACCTCCGTCCTCCGTCTTCCTTCCTCCTTATCCTTCCCCTCCTCCTCCTCTCTCCTCTTCCTCCTCCCTCCCTCCTCCTCCTCTCCTCCTCCTCCTTCTCCCACTCCTCCTCCTCCTCCTCCTCCTCCTCCTCCTCCTCCTCCTCCTCCTCCTCCTCCTCCTCCTCCTCCTCCTCCTCCTCCTCCTCCTCCTCCTCCCTCCTCCTCCTCCTCTCCTCCCCCCCCCCACCTCCCTCCTCCTCCCTCCTCCTCCTCCTCCTCCTCCTCCTCCTCCCTTCCTCCTCCTCCTCCCCTCCTCCCTCCTCCTCCTCCTCCTCCTCCTCCTCCTCCCCCCCCCACTCCCTCCTCCTCCTCCTCCTCCCCCAACCCCTCCCCCACCCCCTCCCCCTCCCCTATCCCCCTCTTCCCTCCTCCTCCTCCCTCCACCTCTCCTCCGTCCTCCCTCCTCCCTCCTCCGTGCTCCGTGCTCCGTCCTCCGTCTTCTGTCCTCCGTCCTCCGTCCTCCGACATCCTTCCCCTCCTCCTACTCCTCCTCTTCCTCCTCCTTCTCCTCCTCCTTCCTCCTTCCCCTCCCCCGTCCCCCTCCTCCTCCTCCCCTCCTCCTCCTCCTCCTTCTCCTCCTCCTCCTCCCCTCCTCCCCCCTCCTCCTCCTCCTCCTCCTTCTCCTCCTCCTCCTCCTCCTCCTCCTCCTCCTCATCATCATCATCATCATCATCTTCATCCTCCTTCCCCTTCTCCTCCGCGTGGGCCCCCGACCCCGCTGGACCTCTCAGGGGGGCAGCAAGATGCGGGCAACCGCGCGCCCAGCAGTACCCAGGGCAGAAACAGGCAAAGAGGGACCGCAGAGACAGCGAGGCCGCGAGGAAGGGAGCAGAAACGCTAGAAGAACATATCTGCATAAACAAAACATCAATTCTCGGAGGTCCGTGCGAATTTCTTGGGTCGGCGCGGAGCACGACAGGGGCGGCACCGGAGGCGCTGCGGGGGGGAGTCCAGCGCCATCCAAGAAATCCGAGCGGACCTCTGAACGCTCATGTGTATGCGATTCCCCGGGGGAAACATAAAGAGAGGCAGACTGCGGCACTGGACCATGCGCGGGCTCCTCACCGCCAGCTCGCATTGACACACTGGCAGGGGAGGGGAACACAACGAGTCGGCGCCCCGACCCCCCCCCCCTGTCACAGACTATGCGACGCGATTGCAGGTGCCCGCACACCTTCTACCAGGCTGACCACCCGCGTTGCTGCTGTGTGCTGCCTTTTGACCAGACGGAGGCGGGGGCGGGAGCGTATCACGCAGGTCGCGCACTTGGAACACCTGGCGCACGGGGCGCACGTGGCGCAACTGGCGGACCAGGCGCGCGCGACGCGTTTGGGCGCCTGTCACGTTGCGCGCGCGGGAGGCAGCAGCCACGAGGGGCGCCCGTGCCCCGCACGGAGCACTTCTCGAGCGATGTGCTCATGGCGTCTGCGCTGATGCCCAGCGGTTGTCTACTGGACGCTGGCCACTGCACTAGCATTTCGCAAGAAAGAGCGTTTGACACTTCGCCTAGTCATGCACATATCCGTTGGGTTCCCCCCCACGCCTCCCCGAATACTCTAAGACAACTCCGTACCTCTATCCGTGACGAAATGCCACCCGTTTGTATCTCACGACGGAGTTCCCACTGTCGACTCTCATCAGCCCCAAGCGGTATTCAACATTCCTGGGATATCCCTCCCCCGCCCTCCTCCGCGAATCTCTGGGGCGAGGGATCCCTACTTTCCTCCTTCATATGATCGTCCCTGGCTTGAGTTTCCGCACCCTCCTTCCCCTCCTCCCGCTCCTCCTCCTCCTCCTCCTCCTCCTCCTCCTCCTCCTCCTCCTCCTCCTCCTTCCCGGCCTTGGTCATCATCGTCATCATTACCATCATCATCATCAGCAGCAGCATCAGCACCAGCATCAGCATCAAAAGCATCATCATCATCAATATCAGTATCAGTATCAGTATCAGTATCAGTATCAGTATCAGTATCAGTATCAGTATCATCATCATCATCATCATCATCATCATCATCATCATCATCATTATCAGCAGCATCCTCAGCATAGCCATCATGATCACCAACATCAGAATCATCACCACCATCCTCATCATCACCATCATCACCATCATCATCAACATCATCATCATCATCATCATAATCATCAGCATGATCATCATCACCATCGTTATCGCCGGCATCATCACCATCATCGTCATCGTCATAGTCATAGTCATCATCATCATCATCATCATCATCATCATCATCATCATCATCATCATTACCATCATCACCATCATCACCATCTGCACCATCATTTCCACCGTCGTCATCACCACCATCATCACCATCGTCAACACCATAATCATCATCACCATCATCATAACCATGACCGTCACCATCACCATCCTCATCCTCTTCCGAATCGTTATCATCATTATCAGCATCATCATCAGCACCATCACCAGCATGATAATCCTCCGCATTATCATCCTCATCCCCGTCCTGATCTTAATCCAAATACGCATCCCAATCCTCGTCCTCATCAGCATCCTCATCCTCGTCTTCATCATCAGCAGCATCAGCATCAACATCATCATCATCATCATCAACATCATCATGATCAGCATAATCATCAACATCATCATCAACATCATCATCATCATCCCCATCCCGATCCTCATCCGCAGCCTCATCATCAGCATCAACATCACCATCCCCATCCTCACCCTAACCAGTATTATCATCATTATCATCGGTATAGTCGTCGTCATCGTCATCGTCAGCAGCATCACCATCATCATGATCATCGTCATCGCCATCTTCATCGTCGTCAGCATAGCGTCATCGTCGTCGCCATCATCATCCTCATCGTCATCGTCATCGTCAGCATAGCGCCATCTACATCCTCGTCGTCCTCCTCCTCCTCCTCCTCCTACTCGTCAGCATCGTCAGCATCACCAACACTATCATCATCATCATCATCAGCATCAGCATCAGCATCATCATCATCATCATCATCATCAGCATCATCACCATAATCATCAGCATCATCAGTACCATCATCATCATCAGCATCATCAACACCATCACCATCACCATCGTCATCATCATCACCATCGTTACCATGATCGTCACCTTATCGTCATCGTCGTCATCATCATCTACAGCATCAGCATCATCATTTGCATCACCGGTACCATCAACAACAACATCATCCTCATCATCGTCATCATCACCACCATCAGCATCACCAACATTAGCATCATCAGCATCATCAACATAAGTATCATCATCGTTACAAGCATCATCATCATCATCATCATCCTCATCATCATCATCATCATCAGCATCATCATCATCACCATCATCATCCTTCTGCCTCCTCCACCTCTTCATTACCCGTCTAACCCTCGCGGATATCCTACTCCAACTCCGCCGCCTCGTCCTCGCTTCCTCTTCCTCCCCCTCCTCCTCCTCCTCATCCTCCTCTTCCTTGCCATCCTCCTCCTCCTCCGCCTCCTCCTCCTCCTCCCATCTCCCCTCCCCTCCCTCATCCCGTCCTGCGGGGAAAGTCCGTCACCACATGTGCCACACGCCTCTGCTTGGCGTCAATGAGACGCACTCTGTCAGTGCCCTCCTCGTCCTCCTCCTCCTCATCCTCCTCCTCCTCCTCCTCCTCCTCCTCCTCCTCCTCCTCCTCCTCCTCCCTGAACGTCATCCCCGTCTCGGGGAGAAAGAGGCGCGACACGACCTCACCCCCACAAGGCGCCCCGAAACGTTGTCCCTCCCACGACGCCGCACGGGCCTCCATCTTCCGCGGCGACCTGATGGTCTGCATGGCCTGGGCTCGCGGCAAGGCAGCCGCGCCGTCGCCAGGAGGTTTGGGACGAGCAGGGCCAGGCGTGTTTCCGAACGCACCCCCCCCCACACACACACATACATACATACCTACATACTTACATGCATGCAGACATATACATGCTTATGCTCAGGCTGCCCACCAGCATGATTTTCTTCATCCTGCTCAGGCCTCCGCCAGCCATGGGTGAGGCCGAATGCGAAGGATAGAAACCACTCGCCGTCAGGTGCCTGCAACGGCACCGGCCCACAGATCCTGCCCCCCCCCCCGTGGACTGCAAGGGCACCAACAAATGTCACTTACTCTGTGCGCGGGCGATCTTCCGCAACTGCCTGGGAGAACACTCTCCCAGCAAAACGTGGCTCTCTTCCCAAGAAAACGCTCTCCCAACAGAACGCGTAGACATAGGGGAGACAATTCGCCGGCCCAACGGGCCAGGGCGTGCTAAGATCTCCGGTAACAAGTAAACAGTATTTCTAGTTCGCGCGCGCAGGGCGGCCCCTGGGGGTCCCGAGCGAAAAGTACCCCGGGCGATCCCCGGCAGACTAGGGGTCAGAGATGCCGGAATTCTGCTTCGGAGCCCAAGAGGGCTCCAGATCGCCCCAAGAGGGCCCCAAGAGGCCCCAAACATGGTCCAAGAGGGGCCCCAGACGCCCGAAGATCGCTCCACGACGCCCAAGATGGCCTCCAGACGGCCCAAGAGGCCTCCAAGATGGCCCAAGAAGCATCTAAGAGGCCTCCAAAAAGGGCCCCACGAAGCAAACATCGTTGATTTTCCATTTGTTTTTGAAGGTTTTTGGCGTTCTCGCATTTTCAGCTTCCGACGCTCCAAGACGCCCCAAGAGGCCCCCAAGACCGCTCCAAGACCGCCCCAAGACGGCCCGAGAGGTCTCCAAGAGGGCCCCCAAACGGCCCAAGATGGCCCCAAGACTGCCCAAGAGGCCTCCAAGACGGCCCAATACACCCCCAAGACGGCTCCAAGAGAGGGCACAGACGGGGGACCCGAACGGGCATTTCGACATCTTTGCCCGAAGAGGCCCCTAGGAGGCCCCAAGAGGCCCCGAAGAGGCCCCAGGAGGCCCCAAAAACACCTCCAACAGGCCCCCGAGAGGCCTCCCAAGAGACCCCACGAAGCCTCCCAAAGAGGCGTCTTGTCCACGACCAGGGTTGGCCCCAAAAATACTCCAAGAAGCCATCGAGAGACCGCCTCCTCGTCCTCATCCTCCCCTCTTCATCATCCTCCTCCTCCCCCTCCTCCAACTTCTTCTCGCGCGCCACGAACATACAAACATATAGCACCAGCGATACAATGTGGGCCGGCGCAATGAGCGAAGCGATTAAATCATTACATAAACATAGAAACTCGCAGGTCCGCGCAGATTTCTTAGATCCGCGCTGGACCCCCCTCCCTGGCGCGCGGAGCGCGCCAAGGGCGGCGCCAGAGGCGCCGCCAGGGGGCCCCAGCGCCGATCCGAGAAATCCGCGCGGACATTGTTCGTTTCCCGAACATAAAATGTATGACGGCGTATGCATCACGGCGGGTGAGGGGGAGGCTCTTGGGACCGTCCTGGACAGGTCTGGGGGGCTTCACGGCGGCTTCGTGGGTCGTCTTAGAGGCCTCTGGGGCCGTTTTCCGTATGGCGAGAGCGAACTTCAGGCAGCTTGGGACCCGTCAACAATCGTTCAACACCGTCGCAAAATGCATGGGATCCGGCTCTCGGGGCTCTTGGGGCATGTTGTCAGCGGCTTGTTGGGGCGTCTTAGAGGCAGATGGGGTGCCTCGAAGCTGTCTTGGGCATCTGGAGTCGCTACTGCGGGGGGGGCATCCCTGGATCGTGTTTGGCATTCGGGGGAGCTGGTTGGCGGCTTCGGGGGCCCTCTTGAGGCCATCTGGGGCGGCTTTCGGGCCGCGTTAGAAGCCTCCTGAGCCGTCTCGGAGCGTCCGGGGCCCTTCCGGATGCCACCGGAACGGACCACACGCACACCTCGCCCTCGCTCGGACGTCCAGTCCCTGTGTTGTGTGTTCGGTTTCGTGCGTGTTTGTTTTTCGCCACATGATCAAGGATTCGGGGATGGACAGACCTCCCTCTAGTAAAACGTGGTTTAGTGAAAACGACCTGAGGCCCAAACCTGGCGGGCGCAAGCCTGGAAAAATAACGGCCGCGGCGCCCCCTCGAGAACCGAGAACGGACCATTCACTAATCGACGCGTCACTGTTAGGAGGTCTGTCCGCCCCCGAAGGATGCTCCTCGAGGGTCCTCGCCGAAAGAAGAATGCACACGTCCGAGCGGTGCCAAGACGCGCGGAGATCCTGCCAGAACCGTCGCGGCGTGCCCAGAAGTCTCGGCCCTGGGGGGCAGCTTGGGCAGCTCTTCGGCGGCTTCTCGTGAAGGGGCCCCAGGACACGCAAATGAATACACACAAACAAAAATACTCCCCATATTTTCCATATTTTCCGGGTTTCTGTCTTCCCCCCCACTTCCCATATTTTCCCATATGTTCTAGGGGATCGACGATTGATTGTGTCTGTGTGTTTCTTTCCCTCCTGATCTCGGGGCGTCTTGAAGGCCCCTTGTGCGGGCAGAACTTCTGTCTATATCCACTGCAGTATGGAGTTTCGGGCTCCCTTCCCAAGAAACCCAAGGCGCACTGGATATGGACAAATTTGCCCCCTCGAGGCTCGATTTTTACCCATATCCAGTGCGCCTCGGCCTTGTGGCGCCGCTTCCCAGAAAAGTCCAAAAGGCACTGGATATGGACATGAATCTTGTCCGCATCTTGGGCTGTCTGGGGGCTGTCTTGGGCGTCTTGGATTCCTACTTTGGCGAGGAAGGGCTCCCTGGATCGTGCTGGGCAGGTCTGGGGGGTTCGCTAGCGGTTTCGCGGGAGGTCTGGGGCCCTCTGGGGCTGTTTCTGGGCCGTGTTGGAGTTTCCTGGGCCGTCCCAACACGAACTCGAAGGCGTCTGCGGCCGTTTCGGATTGTGCCGGAGCTGGACACGCGCACTCGTGCAAATCCATCAAAAATCAGCCGACCCCTTGGGGTCACGGCGTGTGAGATGCTCCCCCCTTCCCAAATCTCTCCCCCAGGGGCCCGGTCCGGCCGGTTTGGAGGGTGGATGGGTGGGGGGCGAAGGTCTCGGCCGAACACTTGGAGCCTCAGGAGGCCCAAAACAGGCCCAAAAAGGTTCAAAAGGATCCTGGAACGGTCCAAGAGAGCTACGATTCGACGAAAGGTCGTTCCAAAACGCCGAAGATTGTCTCCAGACGGCCCCATCAGTCCCCAAGACTTTTGAGAAAGAATTAGCCTGGCGAAGGACCCAACCATATGCAATTGTGAGTACCGCAGTTGTGAATACCTTCCTCGGTGGCGCTCCCTATGGGGCCACGAAGCGCTGTAGTGGATGGGTGAAACGCAAGGAGCAAGGGCCGTGTTGGGTGGTGGCGGACGCATGCGGGCGGTGCCGCCCTCCAGAAGCAAAAACCGTCCCATTCCCAAGGGAAGACATACATGTTCAGCACATGCGCCTTTTGGGCTTCCACGCGGCCCACATCGGCCCAAGAAGCCTCCAAAATCGACCCCCCGAAACCCAAGAGGCTCCCAAAACGGCCCCACGGCGGCTTCAAAGCGATTCACGAAGGCTCCAGAAACCATAGCAACGGCCCGGGAGAGCTGCAGGACGGTCCCAAGAGGGCTCCAAAACACTCCAACAGGGTCCCCAAAGGCTGCCCAGACGGCCCACGCGGGGGACGATTCAGTCCAAACCGCCCAAGATTGCCTCCAGACGGCCCCATAGGCCCCTAAGACGTTTGAAAACGCGTCCACGAGGCGCTCCAAGAGGGCCGCCAGAAGCGTCCCATGCCCCAAGGAAAACATACATTTTCAGCACATTCGCCTCTTGGGCTTCCACGAGGCCTACAACGGCCCAAGAAGCATCCAACATCGACCCCCAAGAAGCTTTCAAGAGGGTTCCAAAAGGGCCTCCGGGCGCCCCACGAAGGCCCCAGAAACCATAGCAACGGGCTTGGAGAGCCGCAGGACGGCCCCTAAAGGGCCCCAAAACGGGCCAAGAGGGTTCTGAATAAAAAGCCTCCTGGTCGGCCCAGGTCGTTCATCAGTGCCCCAAGTCGTCCAACATTGCCTCCCGACAGCCCTACAGGCCCCCCAGACGCCTCAAGACGCTGCCCAGAGGTTTCCCCAGAAACCTTCCAGAAGCAACAATCGTCGCATTCTCGATGGGAAGCACATATTTCCAGCACGTTCGCCTCTTGGCCTTTCACGTGGCCCCTGCGACCCCTTGCACGCCCCAACACGCGACCAGGACGCTGCCCAAGATTCCCCCCCACGAGCAAACATCGGCCCGTCTCCTCAGGGAAATGCTCAAGTTTAGCACATTCGCTTCTTGGCCTTTCACGAGGCCCACAGCAACCCAAGAAACTCCCAAATCAATTCAAAGAAACCCCTATATGCTTCCAAGAAGGCTCCCAGACGGCCCAAAAGGTCCCCAAGAGGGCCCCCGCAGCCACCGAGCAGAGCCCCAGGACGGCCCCAAGGGGCTCCATCGACGGCTCCAGAGCGCGAGTTACGACTCGCGCGGAGATCGCTCCCGGACGCCCGCCACTGCCTCCGGCTGACCCCTGACCCCGAGGCTCCCTAGACGCCCCAGCACGCCACCGGGACGCGTCCCGAGAGGCCTGACAGAACCAGACCTCGGCCCCTTCCCTCAGGGAAACGCCCAAGCTTTGCACTTTCGCTTCTTGGCCTGTCACGCGCCTCACAGCAGCCCAAGCTAGGGCTCCCAACTTCGCGCTTCGCGCTCCGCGAAGCGCGAAGCGCGAATAACTTCGCGCTCTCGCGCCGCCCTCCCAAAGGGAGAATAGGAGGACGAGGAGGAGGGGGAGGAGGAACGAGGACCGCGAAGCGCGAATAACTTCGCGCCCTCGAGGGAGCCCTTGCCCAAGAAGCCACTCAAATCAACCCGAA